TACGATAGACATCCAGGTCCAGGTACAGAACCGCGGGGTTGTGCTTGCTTGAATGTGTGTCATTACTGTCTGACGGGAAGATGATTTTTCCGTCGACATCCTCCGGAGAAATGCCTTCGGAGGAAGCGGATGCACCCGTCCAGATGTGATGACCCGACTGATGCGATTCACGAACAACGTGACATCGATAGCGTCCATCATCGGTGGCCTGAGCGGATGTGAGCATGAGGACAGATACGGTGTCAGATAGTCGAAGAGTGGAGTGGGCTGGCGGGATTCTGGTGCCAATGCGACGCCATATGAAATTGTACCAAGGAGAGTTGGGGCTGTGTGCGGCACGACAAGTGAGGTTCACAGGAGACCCCGCAACCACAGGACTTTTGGGGTTCGATGTGAAGGACAACAGAGTTGGCCGATCTTTCCAAGTATTTGGGGTGAGAAAAAGTTCGAGAAAATATCGTTAGAAAACTTCCGATCATCACCTATCTGTTTTCTACTTGATAGGTGCGTGTTTGAGCGAATATAAGAAATAGAAACAAAAGATCGACTCGATAGTATGATGTTTTAGTTTCACACTTTATCCGGCACAAAGTTTACTTGTGCAGAGCGCGATGCGCAATTTCCTATACTTTCATCAACAGTGGATAGATTCAGGTAAAGTCGATGAACAGGGTCAGTCATGTGAAGTACTTGGGTGTCAGAAGATTACCTTCATATATAATAACTCAATTGACTGTTTGTCCTTCGGACTTCATCCTTAAGCACAATCCTCAGTTCCTCGATTCAACCATTCACTCAGAAGCACTAGACTCGAGCCTTACTCTTATTAGAGTTCATCAATATTACATATCAACCTCCCGTCCTGAATTTGCACTCCGAACCCGTCGAATGTAAGGCATGTGCGTTACCACTGTGCCAACCAGCTCACACTATGACTGAATCGAATTGCCAATTCCTGTTTGTTTAGGTATCTTCTTCAGTTTCGCAGTAAGTCAGGAGTTAA